GTCTTAAATTTTTCTTTGAGTGATGAGGGTCTTGCAATTTTGCCCAGGACTTGAACTCCTGGGCTCAAACCATCTCTGTCTTCCAAGTAGCTGGGGCTACAGGCATATATCACCACATCTGACCGGTTTTTACATTTTTTTTTAGAAATAGTGTCTCACACCATGTTGCCTAGGCTGGTCTGGAATGCCTGGGCTCAAGCAGTCCTTCCGCCTTGGACTCCCTAAGTGCTGGGATTACAGGCGTGAGCCCCCGAGCCCTTTCAGGCTAAATAATCTTTTCCTCTCTCTTTTTTTTTTTTTTGAGACAGAGTCTGGCTCTGTTGCCCAGGCTGGAGTGCAGTGGTTCGATCTCAGCTCACTGCAACCTCCATTACCTGAGTTCAAGCAATTCTCCTGTCTCAGCCTCCCCACCAGATGGAATTATGGGTGTGTACCATCACACCTGGCTAATTTTTGTATTTTCATTTTTATTTATTTTATTTTTTTGAGACAGAATCTCACTCTGTCACTCAGGCTGGAGTGCAGTGTACAGTGGCATGATCTTGGCTCAGTGCAACCTCTGCCTCCTGGGTTCAACTGATTTTCCTGCCGCAGCCTCCCAAGGAGTTGGGACTATGGGTATGTACCACCACATCCTGCTAATTTTTTGTATTTTTAGTAGAGATGGGGTTTCATCATGTTGGCCAGGCTGGTGTCGTACTCCTGATCTCAGATGACCCACCCACCTTAGCCTCCCAAAATGCTGGGATTATAGATGTAAGCCACTGTGCCTGGCCCGGCTGAATAATCTTAACTGACCTATTTTCTTTGTTTTTTTTTTTGAGACGGAGTCTCACTCTGTCACCCAGGCTGGAGTACAGTGGTGCCATCTTTGCTGTCTGCGGCCTCCGCCTCCTGGGTTTAAACACTGCTCCTGCTTTAGTCTTCTGAGTGCTGGGATCACAGGCATGCGCCACCACAACTGGACAAGTTTTGTACTTTTAGTAGAGACAGGGTTTCACCACATTGGCCAGGCTGGTCTCAAACTCCTGACCTCAGGTGAGCCGCCTGCCTCAGCCTCACAAAGTGCTGGGATCACAGGCGTGAGCCACCCTGCCTGACCTGTTTTGTTTTGTTTTAAACTGTGTGTTTAGAATATTATAATGTGGCCACTCTGGAGTCTCCCTCCTCCCTGGGGTGTGTTTTTGCTGTTTGCTGCAGTGGTTATTTAATGACTTTTCTGATTGTGAAGTCTCTATCTTTTGTCATGAGTGGCCATTTCCTCCCGTTCTTTTAGCCTGGTGGTCAGCTAGTGATAGGACAGAGATTTCTTTAAACATCTGGAAAAAAAAAAAAAAAAAAAAACCACAACACACTCCCGAGTTTGTAGAAGGGGTCTGC